ATAAGTAAGACTAGGGAACTTCCCTGGAGGTCCAGAGGTTAAGACTTCACCTTCCAAAGCAGGCGGTGCAGGTTCCATCCCTGCTCGGGGAGTTAAGAGCCACATGTCTTGCAGATCTTAACCAAAACTTAAAACAGAAGCAATATTGTAACAAATCCGATAAAGACTTTAAAAATGATCCACACACAACACACAAAAGTCTTTTTTAAAAAAAGTAAGAATAATTTATCATCAGTCACAGTTGTTTTAAGTATCTGTTGCTTAATAGTTCGCATTTGGGCTCAATGTTGAAGGAAGACCTGGAGTGTCTCTGAAGGCACACAGGGACGCGGGGTGGGGGGGAGGGATTGGTGGGCGGAAGAATTAGAAAGAGGAACAAGCAGCATTTCTTCATCATCCAACCATCTTTTCACTTAAGAAGCAGCTATTGAGCCACTGAGTATCTTTTGTATGTAGGCCTGAAAAGATTTGGGCAAGCATCCCACAGAGCAGGGACCCAGAGGATGTATCTAAATGCAGCTGGGGGCAGGTTTCCTGGAGCTTCGAGGGGTGGAGGTGAATTGCTAGCACACTGGGCAGCATCTGGGAAGCGCAGCCTGCCACTCAGCCCCCACCTCGGGCCCTGGATGGGCGAGCAGGCGGGGCAGTGAGGGACGGCTGAGGACAAAGTCCTCTTGTCTCAACAAAAGCTCAGTTGCAGGAGAGATGAGGAAAGAGGCAGCCGTGGCAGGAGAAACCGTTTCAGCACTGTACAAGAGAGTAAAAAAGAGGCCAGGGACCCAGTTCTAATCTCTGGGAAGACACTCTTTGAATTACACCGAACCTCCCTTCTGAGATGACTGTGGCTTCTTTGTGATCATCTCTGACTCGGGCTCTCTTCTCAGGGTCTGTGCAGATCCCAGAAGCTTGCTGATATTATCAAGGCTTTGAATTTAAAAACAGGTGCAGGAAAAATAAAAATAAAAATAAAAACAGGTGCAGGAACTGATGCAGACAGTCATTGCCACCTAAGGCTGATTGGAGCTTTGGGCACAAAGATGGGCTCTTCCTGGGATTTAGCAATTCCTTAACTGGTGACAAACCAGGGCAGCTTTGAGCCAGAATGTAGGCCCCAGACTACATCGCATCACCCACCACGCCAGCTCCCTTCTCTCACCTTGTCACAGACCAAAAGAACCCGCCTTGATAAGCCAGATTTGTGGTGAATAACGTCTAAGGCATTGTTGTTGCTCAAATTTGTGATGATTGCAAGTCCGCGCGATGTGTCATTATGACTTTGTAAGAACACGCTACAATAGTGCTGTGTGGGTCCACCTGGATGGCGCCAAATGTATTCTTTTAACTTCCCTAACTCAAGATTTTTTTTATACTCTGACCAGAAACTGATTTGTTTAGACTGAGTCTTTTTTGTTTGTTTGTTTGTTTTGGGTTTTATTGGTTTGACCAACTTCTGACTTTAGTTTGCTTATTTGAAAAAAGCCAAAACCTAATTGTTCCTACCTACTTCTCAGAGGTGTCATAGGGATTAACATAATGTGAGTATAAGTCCTTTAATAAGTATTATTATTTGAAAATCCCTTGCAGATGTTAGCACATGATTTGCTGAAACAGTAGACTCTCGTAAGGCCTGCAGACCATAAACCACAATCCCCTGAATCCTACAGGTCTGTAACCCACGCTGTAGAATTATACAGTAAGAACTTGAGAATCAGAAATGACCAGATGTTAACATGGGCCCAGAGTCCTACAGTGAGTGAAGGCATACCTTTATGTGTCTAGCCTCAGTGATTCTGTAAAGAGTTTATCCCCCACGGGGGAAACACAACTGACTGATTCTCCCTTTGCGTGAGGATCCCAGTGGGTGGACACCAGGGTTTTTTTCTCAAGTTCCACTAAAAACCTCTCCCCAAAAAGCTGTCTATTCATGACAAATACTATGAGTTCCCTGCCATCTGCAAAATGCAGCAAACACATCAACGGCATTTGCAGGCTGTCTGATATTAGAAGAATGGATAGAAACTTCTCTTTTCCTTAGCGGTGTTCACTTAAACTCCCAAACTCAGCCTCTAAGATGTATGTGACCTCTTTGACTGCAAGAAGAGTATGATAATCTAGCCATGTGCAGATTTTTCAAAAGCTTAGAATATCGATTTTTTTTCATTAAAAATATAGAGTGTGATAAACTTTGATGTTCATCTACAGTGGTGATATTTCCACTAAGAGAGCAGTCATCATTCTCTTCTCCTCCAGAAGTTTGTCCCTGTGCAATCTCCCATCTCTTCCCTAGGCAACTAACTACTGGGAGAAAATTGACTTTTAAATGACTTATAATTTAGTTCTCTTGGGTTTTCTTTTATTACTGGAATCACACTCATCATGTATTATTTCTGTATAAAGACTTGTAAATTCCAAGTCCCAGGAGGAAAAACCCTTTAAACAGTTCTGTTTAGACTCATCATCTTTTTATTCTCTGAATCATCATCTCTTTATTCTCTTCCAAGACTAACAGGCCTTCAGCGGATTACAGGAAAGGGAGCTGGTTTCTCCAAGCACAAAGGTTCCTTCAACACTTTAGGAGCCCAGCTGAAAGCAAAATGTCAATAAAGGTGAAGGGCTGTTGTCCCTGAAATTCTCAAAGGAAGTTGCTTTTTGTTTCCTTGGCTGCCCTCTAGTGGACAATGATGCAGGGTCATTAAAACATACTGCATCTTGGGTCATGACTCAGAAGATAGATCTGCCTGTCTTTAAAACAAAAGCTAGACAGACAGTTATTTAAAGAAATACTACTCCAAGCATGAGGAAACTGTCCTTACTTATAACTCATATTTGGATCCCAAAGTGTCATTCCCTTTCCTGTTTCCTCGTCTACAATCCTTTCCGTGAAAAGATAAGGGATTCAATTATTACCTATCAAATTTGCTCTAACACTGAGCATTAGGACTAGGCTAAAAGGATGAATAAGATAAGGCCCCTGCCTTCCCTGGAGGATTGACATGAACTCAAATAATGAGCAATGTGATGAGTGCTTAAAAGTAGAATAGACGAGTCTGTGTCTGTTTTGTGGGTAAGTTCATTTCTGTTGCTTTTTAGATTCCACACATAAGTGATGTCATATGGCATTTGCTTTTCTCTGTCTGACTTACTTCACTCAATATGCTCATCTCTACATCCATCTATGTTGCTTCAAATGGCCTTATTACAGCTGAGTAGTATTCCATGGTGTATATTTACCACATCGTCTTAAGCAACAAAGTCCTATTGTAGAGCAAGGAGACTATGTTCAAGAGCCTGTGATAAACCATAATGGAAAAGATTGTGAAAAAGAATGCGTAAATGTATAACTGAATCGCTTTGCTGTAGAGAAGTGAATGCATTGTAAACCAACTATACTTCAGTAAAAACAAAAAATTTTTTAAACAGAGTAGACAAAAATATACATATTAAAAAATCATTAAGGACACAAGGAGGAAAGAAAGTCTGCTGTATTGGTCAAAAGAGCTCTGGTGGAGTCTTGCGTGATGGGTGGAAGTTCTCCAGACAGACCAGAGAGGGAAAGTGTGTAAGAGAGACGAGAGGCTGTGTGTTGAAGAATACTGAGAAATAGTATCAGGAAGATAGCCAGGAGCTAGGTCAGGAAGGGCCTTTGGAGGCTGCATTCATTAGCTATTCCTGCAGCAAACAGCCTCGAACCCTCAGTAGCACCCAATAAATATCACTGATTTTTCCCGCGTGACTGAAGGGGGCTGGGCTAACTGTCCTCCTTGTCTCCCAGCCTCTCTTGGACCCCTCCTGGGACCAGCTGGGCTAGCCCTCGGGGTGTTCTTGTCCTGTTATTGGCAGAGCACAGGAGGAAAAGCAGAAATGTGGGAGGTCTCTCAAGGCCATACTCAGAACTCACCTGTTCTCTTCCCTGGATTCTCTTGGCCAAAGCAAGTCATTGGCCAGACCCAAGTCAGAGGCCGGAAAACATCCTGTGAGGTTACATGTCAAAGAACTCAAATGTGCAGAGAGTAGGAATTAGGGCCAGTAACTGCACCTGCCACAATTTCTATCTTGGAAATGCTGGGTTTGAGGTACTCACTCAGTTCTTTACAATGTGGTTGGGAAATGTAGCTCAAAATACAGGTCTGCTGTGTAGGAATGGAGTCTGGATGAGAGTGGATACACGTACATGCGTGCTGATTCACTTTGCCATACAGCAGAAACTCACGCAGCATTGTGAATCAACTAGACTTCAGTTAAAAGGTTAATTAAAATGTTAAAAGTAGAGCATTTTCATTGGAAAAAAAAAAAAACAGAGGTCTGGCTTTGAGTGATGGATCCAGGAGTCTCAAGACCCCAAACACCCGACTTGTGGATCCCCTCCCATGCCAACTGGTCCCGAATCTCTAGGGGTGAGACTAGTGTTAACTAGTTCCCCAGACGATGTTTCCTATTCTCTGAAGTCTGAGCCCCACTAGTAGATAAACGGCATGAAAATGACACTGCTTTACTGCAGAATGTGGCCTCCGCCGCATCCATTCACCCACTTCCCAAAGCTCAGGCGTGAGACCCCTGCCGGCCAAACATGCTGCCAAACATGCTGCCACTCCTGCAAACCCAGCTAAACTCTCCCCAGGCTGGTGAGTGTTAGATAATGACCTCTCCAGGCTCATTTTAACCTGGCAACAAATCTTCAGCCTAAGAAATGCATTTCCTGCGTTTCTTCAATCTCTAAGGAGAGTGGAGGAAGAGCCTGTGAAACCATGTATTAATATCTCCACTAGAGGTTTGTTCTCCCTGCTTAGAAACCCAACCGCTCATCTTGTCAGAGTTAAATTTTACTAAGAAATAGACTGCTCTCTCCCCTCCAGTTCTCTGATTCCATCTTCAGTCTCTGAAAGTTCAGGCCCAAGCCGGAATGTAAAATATCTGACTTCTACTCTGTAATTAGGGGGAAAAAAAAAAAAAGAAGGAAGAAAAACCCTTTCATGACTCCAATTTTTTTGTACTATTTAAAGACATGCAAAGCCTAGAGAAGCTCCTGAGAGATGCTGTCATCTACGGCCAGCCTCGAACCCGCAGAGCTTGGAGAAAGATTCTCATCCTAGTGGAGGGCATCTACAGGTAGGTAAATAACCAGAGACCTGTTCACATACTGAGGCGCAGAGTGAGCTGACAAGTGGGGCAAGGCTGACCTCTCCTAGTGAAAGAGACCAATGAATGAGATAGAGGGGGTATGAGGGGACCTGGGCCAAAACCACCAATGTGAACTGTCAGGGGCTGGCTCACCTGACTTGTCCATGACCGTACATACGGCGGAGCACCTCAGAGGCTGGTGTCCCGGAGAAATGTCCTGACTAACGGTGCTAGCTTGCATTGATTCCTCCCACTACCCTTGGCTGCCCCACAGTTTCAAAGACCTCTGGGACTGGGTGACTCAACATCAGAACACTCTTTGCCTTTATGACAAAGGCAGGAAGGTAGGTACCGCTGATGGGAGCTCAGCTGCCCCTAATTCAACAGCGCACCCAAACTCTAGTTACTCCTTGAAGTTGGCCAGCTGTTAGCATCCAAACACAAAAGGCCTGCACGTTTTCCTCAAGGTAAGACTAACCTGGAGCGCAGTTCTGGATTCGGAGCTGGGAAGAGCAGGAGATGGTTTTTGCATCTGAAGACGTGTTCAGCCTTCTTTCAGCTTGAGGGCTGAGCGTACAAAACATCCACTAAGCCAGTCAGAACTGCACTTTCATGTTGAGGGTTGCAACTGAATTTGCTTCATTCTCCAAATTGATGATTGTTAATAAAGTCGAAATTGCCCCAAACTCGGCTTCTATCAGATGCCCTAATCCGTGAGACAAGGAAGTTGCTCATTCCTAAATCATTACTCAATCCTAAAGTCAGAAGAATCTAGGGTGATATTTCCTATGACATAATTATGGAAAGATGAACAATATTACAAGGACGGGGGTGAGGGCTTAACTTCCCAGCAAGAGGGAACGTGGTTGTGATGGAAGTCTGAGATCGGGAGCAGCATTTTTTTCAGTTCCCAAGGGCACCACCCGAGCATATCTGTCAGCTTCTCTTTGTCACAACCACAACAGAGCGCTGCTGGCCCCAGGTGGGCAGAGGCCAGGGATGATGTTAGCCCACTTACAGCGCACGGAGTGGGCCCTGCAACAAAGAGTTATCTGGCTCAACATGTCAACAGTACCGAGGGCGAGAAGCCCTGCTATAGACTAATGTGACCAACCACAGGCCCAGAACTTGCGACTTTTAGGAAATAATCTCAATTAGCCTCTCAGCTGTCACGACCTCCAGCTTGGGTCTTTCTCCCTGTGAGATCTGTGCCAGATGCCAGCTTGGGAGGGGAGCCCTTATCTAAGCACCTGTCAGTCAGGCCTGGAGCAGTGGGAAGGCGGATCAGCTGAGCCAGAGAGATGGGCATCTCCCTGAAGCAGAGTAAACAGAACCCAACCGCAAACAAACGAACTCAGCTCCACTAAAAGCAAGTTGTGTGTTCTAAGTACTTCGATCATGGCTAAATTAAGTGGAGCACCGGCATTTCACTGTCAAATAGCCCCATCAGTTACACAAAGAAACCCCTCTGATAATGGCTATGCTGGGGCTGGGTCCTACCTGATAAAAGGACAGGGAAACCAGAAGGGGACTTCAGTTCCAACATAGGGTGACCCCAAACCACAGCTTAGGTTTCACTAGCAATGGTGACCGCCCAGTGACCCACTGCTGTGAAGCAAGCCACCTCAAGGCACAGTGGCTTACCCAGCAGTGAGTTATCATTGCCCATGCCATGGTGGGTTATCTGGGCCAGCAAGGGGGCTCTGCTCCATGTGACGTTGGTTGGGGTCATTCAAGGGACTGCATCCAATGGGGTGTTCAGTTGGGGAGAGAACATCCAAAATTACCTCACTCATGCATTTGAGCTCTGGCAGCTGGGTGTTGAGTGAACTGATTTATTCTCTCCACTTCTCTGGGGCACTTTGTCTATATGTAGGCTTTCTTGCTCAGCAGTCCAGCGAGAGCTTCCTTACAACGTGGTGGCTGGCCTCCAAGAGAATGAAAGGAGACGCCAGTCTTTTAAGTGCTGGGCCCACAACTGGCTCAGCATCCTTCTACTGGTCCAAGCATGTCACAAATCCAGATCCAAGGGGAGGAGAAAAGGAAACCACCTTTTCATTGGAGGATTGGCTTGTGTATATAGAGGGGGGAAGACTTACAGGCAATAGCACAGCAGCTCCTTCAACCCGACATGTATACAGAGAGATGCCTTCTCTGTCCATGGACTTGCCTTCTCAGAGAAGTTCTTTTTGTCTCACGGGCACAAGGGTTGTTGTCTTTGAGTGAGACTGTGATCTAAAAAGATGCATTCATAAATAGGGAGCAGGGTCCTTCTCAGACAGGCCTCAGTACCTCCTGGGACCTCCTGGGCTGGCCAGGAGAAGAGTTCTGGAACATAGGGACGTTTTCCTTTGTTGTTTCTCCAGAAAATGAAATTATTTCCCACGAGATTTTCCAAAAGGCCAGGGCTAGGGGTGCAAAATCAGCAATCGACAAATACACTGCTACTTTCCAGAAATGTACCTTGTTAACCTCTACACGAATCTTCCTTGGAGTTTTCACTCTCAGATCATTTTTGTCTCAGTGTGTGGTTTGCCCCTCTGGGCAAAGTCCCTCTACCACAGACAGCTCACATAAACCAATTTTTTCAAAAGTCCCAAAAAGAATAGTCAGCCAAACTCAAGGTACGTATCAAGGGAGAAAAGGCTAGACACCAAATCCTAGAAGTCAATAAACTCCACAACAGCAGGTATAATAATAACAGTAGTAATAGTAGTAGCAATGACACTATCACCATCCATAGATCATGTAAGTATTAATATTTATATAGAGAAGAAGGGGAGTCAGGACTTGGAGGGAGGCCTGGACATGGGCACACATCCTGTGTTGCTGCCTATAGCTATGTGTCCTTCATAGAATTCCTTTGTAAAAATTAAATGAGATCATACACTCCAGTGCTTGGCAGAAGCCCAGCCCATAGTAAACCCACAACCAAGGGTAGCAGTCCTCATCATTAACTTTATTTTCAGTTGAGGAAGTCACAATTCAGAAAACAGTAAGTCATCTGCATGGCGAAGCTGTCTGACACCTGGAGGATGGGTGTCGGAAGACAAAGTATGCATTTATCAAGCGCCTTCGCGTTGACACATTAAACATGTCATTTGTGCCATCTTGAGTAAGTACCTCCAGGACTCTGGAGGTTATTGTGAGGAAGAAGGCATTCGGGTTCCAAGATCTAGATAACTTGCCCCAGGGAAGGTAACTGAGATAAAGCAGAACTGGGATTCAAACCAGGTGGCTCTGCTGGGATAGAGACCCAATGTAAACACAAGAGTCTGCCCATGCGCCCGCATCCAATGAAGTAAACATGGAAAATGCAAAGGCATCCATTTGACCTTCCTCATCAACCCGTCTAGGACTTAGTTTCTTCATCTGTAAAATAGGGAGATTGAAGCTTGAAGTCTACAGTTCCATGGTTTGGGGGTCAGAGGCACAGCAGTATTATTTTGGTGTTCTCATCTGCATTTTCCTTTGCTTTAAAGTCATACTCTTGAGTTTTGTGTTTCTGGGAAGCCTAATGTAGTCAATTCATGGTGGTTGAGGAGATTTAGAATCATTCAAATATACACTAGAGATGGGGAAAGTGAAAAGTGTTAGTCACTGAGTCATGTCCAACTCTCTGTGACCCCATGGACTATAGCCTGCCAAGCTCCTCTGTCCATGGAATTCTCCAGGCAAGAATACTGGAGCGGGTATCCATTCCCTTCTCCAGGGGATCTTCTGACCCAGGGATCTACCTGGTCTCCTGCACTGTGGGCAGTTTCTTACTGCCTGAGACACCAGTGAAGCCCTAGAAATGGGGAGTGGGTACAAAATAACCTGGGATATAAATTAGTGTAGCTGGAGCCCAAACTTTCACAATAAAATTAATCAAGAAATACTATCTAATTGTATCCAAAACTACATATATAAACAAATGTTGGAATCTCAGCATGCCATTGTCTCTAAGAATGTAAGCCATTTTCCTGACCCAAATAATGTAAGTTTAAGAACTGAGAACTTCAGTAGTGAAGTCTAACCTATATCCCTATGAATAAAGACAAAGGAAAAGAAAACAGTAGTTACTTGATTTTTAATTAACCTTGGCTCCTTTTTTTTCCTCCTCTCTTTCCACCTTCTTTCTTCTCTTGGATTATATTCTGGGCCCACCAAGATTTTTCCACCATGTAAATTGGCAAACCAGTGGCTTAATTCCCAGTTATGACAGTGGGTAATATGGTCTAAACACAGAGGAGAAGGTGGTGAGAGGGAGATCTCAAAAAGGAGTCTTGTCACTTAGCCAATACATTATGTAATAGAGATTACATAAAAAGAGATTATTCACTGGCTTACTAGTTTAAGAATAATCTAAATCCCTGCTCAGAGATTTCAATTAATGAGTGAAATTATTTTTACCTACAGTTGTATTTTAGTTTTTTCTTTCCCCTCTATTGAAGCCAAAAGAAAACATGACTTTCCACTAAAGAAGAAAATACTGTTGTTGGGTTTGTTTGTTTGTTTGTTTTTCATCATTTTTGGCACAATATTCTTTGACAGCAATTTTAATAACATAGATAGCCTTTTCATGTACAAACCAAACTCAATATACCACTATGGGGAAAGATCTGATTCATATTTTGTCACATTGAGAAAATGAAAACTTAGTGTGAATAAATGTCGCTCTTTATAAAAACTGAGTTTTGCAAGACAGAAAAAGAGACACAGATGTATAGAACAGACTTTTGGACTCTCTAGAACTCTTGTGTGCCCTGCATTAACTCCTGGAACCAGCAGTATTGTTGAGTCATTAATCTTTGATGAAGAAATATAAGCCAGGTGGGCAGACTCCTAACATCAGCCAGACCAGTGCCAGCAAAGACGGCTAATTAGCTGCCTAGAGTGTCTGCAAACTGTTCAGCGTGAACTCTGGCTCCTGCCAAACTCAGTTCCAGAACAAAAAATGGCTATTTGTGACATGTCAGGTTTTTAGCACATTTGTGTTACCAACTTAGAACATTTTAAAAGGTAAGAAGAAGGTTTTAGAATTTTGAGGGCATCCATCCATGTATTGGGTATGACACCCATATGCCTCCTTCCTGAGAGATTCAACAGAGAGGGCTCCCAATTTCTCACATGAGGCCCCAGTGCTACCATGTCCTCCTAAGCTCCTCCTGAGGACAAGAACAACCCAGTGGGTGCCCGTGATGTGTCAGGCACTTTAGAAGTATTATTTCCGGTAATTCACATTGAGCCTTTATGAGCAGTGTGCTATCATCGTGTTAATTTTGCACCCAAGGAAGCTTAGGCAGAGAGCAGCAACTAAGCTGCCCAAGCTCTGAACTAGTAAATGATGTGGCTACCACCTCAGCTTATGGGGCAGAGGGCTGGACTCCCCTTCAACAGTAATAACTTTAACAAGCAATCACTCTAAGAAAATACTGGAATTAACTTGCAAACTTAAGTAAGAGAAGATGACTCTATGATCTTCATGTTATTAAAATCTGAAAACATCCATTCAGAATGACCTTGTGGAAAGCACAAATAAGATGGACTTCACTAACATTAAGAGCTTCAGCTCTGCAAGATAATATCTAGGGTGTGAGAAAGCAAGACACAGACTGGGGGAAATACTTGCAAAAGCTCTGATGAAGCAGTGCTGTCCGAAAGATGCAAGGAGGAGAACCCTTATAACTCAACAATAAGAAAACAAACAACTGAACTTAAAAAACAGGCCAAAGACCTTAACGTACACCCTGCCAAAGACAATGGACAGACGAAAACAAGCATGTGAAAGCCCGCTTCACATCATATGCCATCAGAGAAAATGCATGTTAAAACAATGAGACACCACTACACAGCTATTAGCAGGTCAAAATCTGGAACACTGACAATAGTAAGTGCTGGTGAGAATGTGCGGGAACCCAGAGCTCTCATTCACTGGCGGTGGGAATGCAGAATGGTCCAGTCACTTTAGATGGCAGCTTTGTGGTTTCTTACCCACATACTCTTACCATACAATCCAGCAATCTTGCTCCTTGGGATTTACCCAAAGGAGCTGAGAACTTGTGTTCCCTCAGAACCCTGCACACAGATGTTTGTAGCATCTTTATGTATAATCGCCAAAACTTGGAAGCAACCGAAGCGTCTTTCAGTCAGCAAATGGATAAATGGTGTTGCATTCAGACAGTGGAATATTAGCACTAAAAAGAAATGAGCTATAGAGTCATAAAAAGACACAGAGAAAATCTAGATGCATACTACCCACTGAAAGAAGCCAATCTGAAAACATCACATAGTGTATGATTCCAACTACGTAATGTTCTGGAAAAGGCAGAACTATGAAAACAGCAAAAAGATCCCTGGATGCCAGGGGTTGGGTGGAGAGATGGAAAAACAGGTGAAGCACAGTGAATATTTTAGAGCAAAAAAAAAAAAAATAGTATGTATTATACTATAATGACGGATACGTGTCATTATGCACTTGTCCAAACCCATAGAGTGTATGATGATGAATCTCAGCCTCTGTGCACTGGTGCTAAATTGAATCTCAGAGACAAGGTTTTGGATGGAACAGAAAGGAATAGCTCTATTGCTTTGCCAGGCAAAGTGGGACACAAGGGGATAAAGCCCTTAAAAGTCTGTGTCCCAGCCTGGGGGGATTTGGTGAGGAGTTTTACAGCAGTGGTTCCCAGGCAGGGTTCCGGGGGTCAGGGTGTGTGTGCAGGGCCTGTATTCCTTTAATCTGGCCCCAGGTGGTCTCCTGATGAGGTCGTCACTCTGTGACCTCTGGAATGAAGACTGTCATCAAGTATTTGACATCCCCCATTTGGGGGTTTTAGTTCTGCAGAAGGGCTCAGAGACCCTGGTGTATCACTTGAGGCAGAACCAGGACCCTGCCCCAAGGCTGCTCTTCCCTGCACCCCTCCCTTCCCTGATTAGCAGCTGATGGGCTTCCTGGTAGCTCAGATGGCAAAGAATCTGCCTGCAATGCAGGAGACCTGGGTTTGCTCCCTGGGTCGGGAAGATCCCCTGGAGAAGGGCATGGCAACCCACTCCAGTATGCTTGCCTGGAGAGTCCCGTGGACATAGCAGCTTGGCAGGCTACAGCCCATGGGGTCACAAAGAGTCAGACACGACCGAGTGGCTAACATTTTAGAACTCAGGGAAAGTTATGAAGGCTGAAGCCTATTCTCTATAAACAAGAAACAGGGGACCGAAAGGCTATTGTGCCCAGGAGCCCCACAAGGCCCGGCTCAGTTTCACGAACAATACCAAGGGTGAACTCTAATATAAACTGCAGGCTTTAGATGGTGACGTGTCAGTGGAGGTCAACTGGCCGAAACAAATGTACCGCTTTGGTAGGTGGTGTTGACAAGGGAGGAGCTTATGGCTATGTGAGGCAGACGGCATAGGGGAAAACTTTGTACTCTCTGCCCAGTTTTGCTGTGAACTTAAAACTGCTCTGAAAAATAAAATCCTTTTTTTTAAAAAAAAAAAAAATGAGGCTTCCCTGGTGGCTCAGTGGTAAAGAATCTGCCTGCCAATGCAGGAGACTTGGGTTCGATCCTTGATCCCCGAAGATCCGACACACCACAGGGCAACTAAGCCCATGCACCCCAACTACTGAGCCCAGGTCCCACAAGCACTGCAGCCGTCAAGGCCTCGAGCCGCTGCTGCACAACAGAAGCCGGTTCAGTGAGACAGCTGCACCCCGCAAGCAGAGCAAAGCCCAGGCGGCAGTGAAGACCCCGCACGGCCAAAGTTAGATAAATAATAGATGATTCTTTAAAAAGATCATCCAGTACCCACGGGTCTAGGGTGACTACCCAACAGCTGGACTGTTTTGACTGAATGGACCTAACACTTAAGATATTTTCTTAATACGTTAAATTTAATAAATAAACTAAGAAGAAGAGATGTTCAACTCTCCGTTTGCATCAGTTGACTAGTTCCTGAACTAAACTGATGGGTTGCTTGAATTGTTTGACAAGCTCCTTCATGGGGGTGAGAGTGTGAGTCTGATTTCATAGAACTTAGCTGTCAGCACAGTCAAAACTGTGTGGGAAAACACAGCTCACAAGATGTCCTGAGAACATCAGTTCCTTTAAATCCATTGGGTTCCAGAGGTGCCATGTAAATACTGAACGCTCCTTTTACTTGCTTATTTACCTCCTGTCTTTCCCTTTGCTGGAGAACTTAAAGTGATTTTGCAATTTAAAATCCCAAGGAAATTTACCAAATTACAAACTGCTGTGAAAAGTTAAGCACTTAGGGCTAAAACAAAAGTTGATCTATAGCAATGGTTCTCAAGTGTTGTCTGCAACCAGAAATCCTGGAATCTCTCAGGAGCTTGCTAGAAACCCAAGTTCTCAACCCACCCCAGACCTCCATTGGAAACTCTGGGTGGGGCCCAGAAACCTGTGTTGCAACCAACCATTCAAATGTAATAAAGCATTCAAAGGATTCTGATGCTCACGCAAATGAGAAGCATTGCCCTAATGGAAGAGAGGAGACACCAGCAGATGCCTCAAATAAGCCTTCAGGTTCAGGACGGACTCAACAGAAGAGCCTGAGGCCTTTCTCCTTTGCTTTAGTGAACACTGTGATGTCTTAAGGGTAATGATGTCTTCAAATTCATCTGTGTGTTTTTTATGTTTGTTTGTTGTTCCTTATGTTAGGCAGAATTGCCTTTCCCTGTAACTTCTGTGCTGATCTTTTTTAAAAATAATTTTATTTATTTATGGCTGCGCTGGGTCTTCACTGCTTTTCACGGGCTTTCTCTCGTGGGTGAGCGGGAACTACTGCTTGTTGAGATGCAGGGGCTTCATTGAGGTAGCGTCTCGTTGCAGAGCAGAGGCTTCAGGAATTGCAGCACTGGCTCAGTGTTTGTGGCACAGGGGTGTAGTTGCTCTGGAGCACATGAAATCTTCCCAGACCTGGGATCGAACCTGTGTCTGCTGCATGAGCAGCTGGATTCTCATCCACCGTGCCATCCGGGAAGTCCCTTTTGTGCGTTTTTACATCCTTCTTTTAATATTCAGCAATTCAAGCACTGAGTTAAGTCAGATGTGCTGCTAAGTCACTTCAGTCATGTCTGACTCTTTGCGACCCTATGGACTATATATAATCTGCCAGGCTTCTCTGACAGTAGAATTCTCCAGGCAAGGATGCTGGAGGGGGTTCTGGCCAGGGATCTAACCCATGTCTCTTGAAAGTGAAAGAGACAGTCACTCATTAGTGTCCGACTCTTTGCAACCCCATGGACTGTATGTAGCCCATCAGGCTCCTCTGTCCATGGGATTCTGCAGGCCAGAATACTGGAGTGGGTTGCCATTCCCTTCTCCAGGGGATCTTCCCCACCCAAGGATCAAACCCACATTGCCAACAGATTCTTTACTGTCTGAGCCACAGGAAAGCCTTAACCCATGTCTCTCAATGTCTCCTGTATTGGCAGGCAGGTTCTTTACCACAAGCGCAACCTGGGAAGCCTGGCCAAATAGGACAGTAGCAGGCTGATATAGATGCCTTGACATGGAGCAATTTCATTAAAATTATCAAAATACCTGGAATCCAGTGTGCTCAGTCTAGTTATGCTAGTTGACTTTACAAATAAGCTAATCAACAGCACGGTGAGCTAATTATTTACCTGGGAATTAGCTTTAACAACTCAAAGCACTTAAATCCATTGAATGGAAACTAATTTCCCCCCAGTGAACCAAAGCCAGAGCAGCCTTACAAGATTGAGAGCACATCTCCACCAAATAAAACATGCCGGGTCATCCCCGTTTGGTGTCAGGGCAGAAAGGGAGAGTGACACAGAGCCTTCCTGGCGGGTGCACCCTGGTGACAAGCATTTCTTCTTTTGCCCTAGCATGGAAGGTTCCATCGTGTGTCTGCCCGACATCGTGGCCCTGAAGAAGAAATACAAGGCTTACCTCTACATAGATGAAGCTCACAGTATTGGGTCCGTGGGCCCAACTGGCCGGGGTGTGGTGGAGTTCTTTGGAATGGACCCCAGAGATATTGACGTATTTATGGGCACATTCACCAAAAGCTTTGGAGCCGCGGGAGGTTACATAGCTGGAAGGAAGGTAAGAGACAGATTCCTTGCATCTATTAAAAACCTGAATGCCCTGGAAATGCAGTCTTGGGGGTCCTCTGGCTGCCCTGAACTGAAGCCCAGTTTAGCACATCTGACTGATTAAGGCGGCCTGGGCAGCAGGGGTTCACAGGCACGGGAGGCCCAGAAGGTCAAGGAGCTCATCCTCTGATAGTGCAGAGGAGCTTGTGGTGAGTAATCCCGTGATCCTGAAACGACAACCCTGGCTGTGCACATAGGCAGAGACAGTGCAAAGGAGAGGGCAGGACCGAAGAAGTCTCAGAACGACTGTCAGTCTCGTAGATCAAGGGTGGCGAGGGGGTGTATGGGTTATATTTCAAAAAGAGAGAATGCCCTTAACCAAGCCACAAAAGTGATGCTGCAGAATGGTAAGTAGCTTGGGGAAAACTTAAGGTGGCGGGTAGGAACAGTGGCCAAGTTCAGATGATGAAGACACTGACCCTCTGCTACAAGATGTGGGTTTTCAGAGTTTTAAAAAAACAGTGGCAAGACTGAAGATCTTTTTTTTTAAATATTTTATTGAAATATAGTTGCTTTACAATGTTGTGTTTATGCTGCAAGGCAAAGTGAATCAGCCGTACATATACACATATCCCCTCCCTTTTGGATTTCCGTCCCATTGAGGTCATCTCAGAGCACCGAGCAGAATTCCCTGTGCCACACAGTATGTTCTCATTAGTTTTGTATTTAATCCACATTAATAATATCAAGAATGTATATATGCCAATCCCAATCTCCCAATTCATTCCACCCACCTTTGCCTCCCTTGGCGTCCATATGTTTGGTCTCTCATCTGTGTCTCTATTTCTGCTTTGCAAATAAGTTCATCTGTACCTTTCCCCTAGATTCCACATATAAGAGATATTATGCAATATTTGCTTTTCTCTTTCTGACTTCTTTCACTCTTGTATGACAGTCTCCAGGTCCATAAGAGATTTTGCTCTGCAAAATAATTCTCTCCCACAATCTTGGATAAGCCGTGGGTCAAATCTTGTCGTCCTCTCATCTCTTATTTGTGTGACTGAAGATTCTGAGCTGATGGAATTAGACTAAGTGTTATCCCTGTCATTCTACTGCCAACATCAGCCAGGAGGTCACCAAAATGAAACAAATGTTTGAAAAGGTTTTAAAAGAAGAGGCAAGAAGACGAGGGAAAGAAAATGAAATACTAAAACCCGACTTTCGGGGCTCAAAAAGCCGGTTCTCTGCCACGTCATACAACAGTTTTACAGAAATCCTGACGGGCCCCTCCTCCGGGTGTACCCCTGCCCCAGAGGGACGGTGAGGGCGCTGCTGGCTCCCCCGAGGAGGGCGCAGAGTGTATGCAGGTGGCTCTGTGGCGTCTCTAAAACTCCCGATTCCTCCCTCACTGTCAGCAACAGGAACAGGAGCTCAGGCTCCTGGGAAACCAGCTAGACAAACCAGGGAGTACAGCTGAAGACAGCCTGGGGCGGAAAGCCCATGATTTAAAACTGCAGATTTTATTGCGGGCAACTCATCCTGCCATGAGACGCTGCACAAACGCTTAAAATGTTCAGAGCTCCTGGTGACCTCCACCCTTCAAAAAGCATCACTTTCATCTGAGCTCAAAGCACTGCATTCAGCCTCCTTCCATAGGCCTGCGGGAATTCATCGAGGGATACTAAACGCATAGGGAATGCCCAGGATCTTACAAAATTCAGCTAAGTCTAGCGCGAGGTTCGACGTTCCCTTCCGCGACTGTCGAAGCCACAGGGTCACAGGGTCCTAAATGTAGGTGAGCCCTCGCCCAGGCTACTTCGCTTTGTGAGCTGGTAGTTTTGTGGTGACTTTAGCAGCAGTTCTGAGCTGCAAAATTTTTCACCAAGTGTAGATCTGTTTCCTGAGCCGAAGGAACCTGAATAAACTGAAGTGAGCGGATCCTTGATATGCTGTCAAATTTGGTAGCTGTCGTCACCACGTTCCCTCTTAGAGTTCTTGCGTGTGATGAGCCGCTGGAAGCAGAGGCTCCTGATTGCCAGTTCAGGCCCAGCTCAGCACGGCTCTCTCGCATCCTCTGCATCCTGAAGGCGGGTGGACTACTTCAAAAGTACATTTGCTCTTGCCTACCTACCTTCTGTTGACCTGCGGTAGATACGGAGCCACTGTGAAAATTATTAATATTTAGTATTTGCCTTAATCAGGAAGAAGAAAAAATATGTGGATCAGTTTTTGCTCTTTAAAAAACGCTTCTTCACATACTTGGAACCAGAGGGATGTCTCCTGCCGCCCCTTCCCCGTCTCCCTCTCTATTTCGCCGCAGTCTCTGAATTTACCACTAGGTGGCAGCGAGACTCAGAGAGTGTTTGGCAGAGACCCCTTAGCCCTGAAACCAGAAGATCAAAGACCTAGAAAACACCGGGCAGTTTCCAGGCGTGGGGGGTGCGCAGGATGTGAGGCCTCTCGAGCGAGTGTCTCGTGTTCCCTGATGATTTAAAATTCAGCCTGGTAATGAATCCACCTGCAACGCAGCAGACCCCAGTTTGATTCCTGGATCGGGAAGATCCCCTGGAGACGGGATAGGCTACCCCACTCCAGTGTTCATGGGCTTCCCTTGTGGTTCAGATGGTAAAAAATCCGGCTGCAATGTGGGAGACCTGGGTTCGATCCGTGGGTTGGAAAGATCGCCTGGAGAAGGGAATGGCACCCACTCCAGTATTCTGGCCTGGAGACTCCCATGGACAGAGGAGCCTGGCGGGCTTCTGTCCGTGGGGTCCCAAAGAGTCTTACCTGACTCAGCACAGCTCAGTACAGGTAAAAACACCCGCCTGGAATCATTTTGGTGAGCCTGTGACAAATGCAGATAAACTGGTTTCCTTCCAGCCTCAGGAGCCCATGAGTTAATCGTACTTAGTATCTGCTCCTCTGTGCCTTTAACTTGTTAAATTATGTTAATTTTAAATTATGTGTAGTTTCCACTTAAATTATAGTTTTTAATTCCCCTGGACTTTGAAGAATTTTGTGAAGAATTTTCACTTTGAATTTGTTTTTTAATTGATACTACATAGGATTGGGCAAATACTAAAGATCTTTGGGAAAAAATCTTTCTAATATCTGTTTAAATAATTCGAATTTGGTTTTCATACTTCCATACTTTTTTCTGAATATTTTAAAATAGATATCTCAATTTGGGGGAGTATTACAAAATATCCCAACATTCTTGATATTAAATTCTACAAAAGCAACAAAATTAACCATAAACAAGTTAAAGTCTACACACTACTACTTTACATTTTTCTGAATTATTGATAATTTCAAGTTCACTATGTTCATGGGCTTCCTAGTAAATCTTGAGAGGTGAAATAATCACTTGGGTCCAAAAATCTAGAAAACTATAAAACTCTCTGGGTCTTAACTCTCTTTTTAAATGTCAATGTTAGTGGTACAGGGACTATAATCTTAATAACAGTTTCTAGGAGGCTCCAGAAATCTTTATGGAGCAGGTCAAGGTGAGAAGTACATGTATTAGCAACCAGATGTGTCATGGAAGAAAAAAATATTTGGAAACACACAAGAGAAAAATTGCTTTGGTGCTAAGATACAACCACAGAGAGTGGAGATTTTGTCTTCATCAAAGCCTTCCAGTAACAAAATGTCCTAGAAATTCATGTACCTCCTGACTGAACTTCAGGGACCCTCATCACCCTTCCTTAGTCTCTAAACCCCCTCTGATTTCCATTAGACCATCAGGATTTACCAGACCCCTGCTAAGTACTCACCACTGCAGATTTTAAGAGAGTATATAATAAAATGTATAACTCTGTTTGCTACTCTCAAGGAGGTCCCAGTCTCTTTGGAGAAAGAGTAGTAGGACACGTTTTGAGACTGATACAATTCAAACCCTGATTTAGAACTGTGAACAGGTGGGTGTATCAGAAATTCCCCCCTTCCTCTCCTCCCCCGAGGGGTGCAGCCTCTGTGGATTAGGGGAAGCACCACATGAGTAGCAATGAACACTGTCTTCTCTGCACTCCCCAGGGCCTCCCCATCACCATACCAAGCCAGCTCCTCTGCTCTGAAGAAGTAATATAAGCTGATGCTAAAGGATGGGAGGAGGGGGGACTCTAGAGCCAGACTCTTTGGGTCCAAATCCTTGTTATCGAGCCACTTTTTGGTGGGATAATGTTCTGATCTGTTCTTTAATGCAGTGACCCCACCTATCAAGTAGAGATCAAAACAGTACCTAACTCATAGCATTACTGAGAAGCTAAAATGAGTTAATGCATGTAATTATATATGTGAAATACATTTAAAATTCTTATAGTGGTGCCTCAAGCAGCCCATGGATATCAGCTCTGGGTCTATCCATGAGCTGTTAGCTCTACCATCTCTACAGTGAAGCTCTGTTGCCATCAGGTCTAAATTCTCCCTTCTTTGAAATGCCTCTCCTTTCTTTTCGCTCTTGCTGTCACCACCCAGTAAGGATGGGGGAAGTGTCGGGGTGCAAACCTTTGATGGCCAGATCCACCAGTGTCCGGAGGCGTAAGCATGCAGCATGACCCTCTGCTGGGCGGGGGGCAGGGATAAAGACACTCCAAGTGTCCGGTTTTTGCCCCCTCCTCCCCCCTCACGCTCTGAGTGTTCGGACTGTCTGAACTGGCCGCCCATTAACAATAGCCACCAGCAGCACCAGACATTCACTATGTGGCAGATGCTTTTCCTCATAATGACCTGAAAAAAGTATGACCGCTATCCCATTTCTCAGAGAAGGAAACCAAGGCACAGAGAAGCTTAGTAGTTTGCCCATGGTCTCATATCAGTAAGTGGCAGAGCCAGGATTTGAACCTAAGTGATCCAGGCTCCAGAGCCTGTCTCGTAACTCTGAGGTCAGACCTCCCCTGGAGGGAATAACCCCTCATTACCTTTCTTGGAGGCACTAGCTTTTCCCTCTGCCTTCATTTGGCTCCTCCATCCTGTGCTGATTAACATGCCATCTTTATTCCTCATTTTAGCCCATGTCCATGCCTCTCCCCTTGTCTGAAACGATCCAAATCTACTCATCCTTCAAGGCCAAGTCGCCTCCTTCAAACTCCCCTTCCTGGACCACAGGAGCCCACATCATCCCATTTCCTGCATCCCACGCAGCATCCTGCTGGGAGGCACCAGCTTTCAGTAGAGAAAGAAAACCCCTGCTTCTGCTCATAGAGGAGCATGAAGAACAGCCTGGCTGCGGCTCCTCTGGAAAATGACCACCTCTTTCTCCCTGATGCTCCCCCCCACCCCATCCTCCATGCGCCAAAGTGAACTTCTCGGATACCATGTGGTCAGTGCCTCAGTCAGATGGTGAAAACGCTTATGAGATTCACTAAACAAAAAAACAAACAGAAACTTAATTTTGATTTTAGTGCAAGTGGAGAATGGCTGCCAGAGACTAGGCTTTCTGTCCTCCTCCTCGTCTCAGGTTCCTGCACGCAGAGCATAGTCCAGAGCAGACTTGTCCTTGTACAGACTTGCTGGAAATAAAGATAGAGGGAGCGCAGAGGTGGCGGGATGGGGACAGAAGTGGGGGGAGGAGGGAAGGAAGGGAGGCAGGGGGAAGGAAAGAAGGGAGGATATAGAGAGGGAAAAATAGAGGAGGGGAAAAAAAAGACTGGAATGGAGAATCTAAAATTTAAAGCCCTAAAGAGGAAACCAGAGTAGAGCGATGGAGAAGGAAAAGAAGACACAAAAATCAAGGACTGAAGGTGTGAAACGCAGGAGAAAAAAGTCAGGGGAGCAGGAGTGTGGGAGGGGGGACTGCAGACGAAGGACATTCCAAAGGGAGCAGGGCAGGCGGACTGGAGCTCCCTGGTCCCCCAGGGGCCAGGCAGACACATCACGCCACCAGCCGCCTGGGAGGCAGGCCACTGACTTTACTGCGGGAACATTTAGGAAAGGGTATAGTGGCTTCAGGTACCTTACTTACGTCACTACTAACTTTAGCTACCAGTTCATAGGAAGATGAACAATGTACACTTAAAACGCTTGGGTAAGGATGCATGACTGAGCTACCAGGACACCCACCCCTGAGGAAGCTGACAGGCGGGCATGGGCATGGTGGCAAGCACAGAGGTGGGAGCAGATGTGCCAGTGGAGGGGGGCCAAGAGGAGTGGTCTGCTCAAACCAGAGCTCCCCCCAGGTCACCTTCCAGGCAGTGACTGAGAAGACACCGAAGTGGGGCTCTAAGCTGTCTCATGATCCTGGAAGAAAAGTGACTGCCGCTTCATGGACCCCACTGCTCACTCAGAGCCATCCTGAGCGCACTGGCTTTGCTGCAGGGCACCCCGAGGGTCCCAGGCTGTGAGCCAGGAGGATGTCTTCCCAGCCAGGCTGAGTGCCCCCGGGCGCCAGCGCTGAGCAGCCCCCCCCACCCCAGACCACACCGCTGTAGAAGGAAGTGATTGGAGCATCTGCTGGCCCTCAGCATGCTTACCACTGACCTCGGGTTCAGCCTGCTCAGGCATGCTGGTGGAGAACCATTTCTACTACCATAGGGACCAGCATCCTGCAGCGAGGCAGCGCTCCAAAGAGTGCAGTGCAAAAATCCCAGTGGTTCTCTCCAGCCCACGGCACACCGGGGTTTATCTTGCCCTTGCCTCCACGTTGGGTCAATCTCTCCTCTCCCTTCTGCTGCTCCCTTACACTGGAACTTTTCTTGTTATCTTTGTCTTTCTTTAAGACATAATCCCACCTGTGTCTACTCACAAGCAGCACATCCCCTCTTTTTCCTCTGCCTTTTGGTAGCCTCACTGCATATATTAGTCTGCATATCTTGTACTTCCCCTGCCGTTACTTCTTCATGGGCACAAGCTCATGTACTATGCTCAAGGACAAAAATAAAAAGACACATTCTAGATCATTCTTTGTACCCTCCTGAATACTAAACCATTGCTCACATGACCTGGATAGCCAAACAAATGTCTTCGAAGCCGTTTTTCCTTTACACATCTGGTTTTGAGTTTCCCTGGTGGCTCGGATGTGAAGAATTTGCCTGCAATGCAGGAGACCCAGGTTCGATCCCTGGGTCGGGAGGATGCCTTACAAACCTCAACTCCAAATTTGGAGCTCCTATTTTTGTATACCTTCTATGTTGTTGAGGGAGAGGCTGAGAAGAATGGACAGAAAAAATAAATAGCTTAGTGATGTGCCTGGAAAATCAGACTGCATTCAAGAATCAAATGTCTTCTGCTATAATGGGTGGAGATGGGCCCACCAACACAGACTTATTTGCCTTCTTTTTGGATTTCCCTCCTTCTTTAAAGGACCTTGTGGATTATTTACGGACTTACTCCCATAGCGCTGCTTATGCCACGTCCATGAGCCCCCCGGTAGCAGAGCAAATCATCAGAGTAATGAAACTCATCATGGGACTAGATGGGACCACAAAAGGTAAGAGGGTCTGCAGCAAGCCCATCTCCCATTAATTCCTTTCCTAGACCGCTCTCTGCCTCCCTTCTGCCCCATCCACCTCTCCCCTTCTCAAATATACTGCTTGGTCTTAATGTAACCAGTTTGTAAATTAAGCCACGTGCTCGTTAATAGTACATAATGTGTAATAGTATGGAGTACATAAATGTACTGGAACTGCCATTAGTGCACAGAAAGGGTGAGTAGGGCAATGCTTTTTTAAAGCAAAGAACACTTTCTAATTCACCCCTTCATGTAATCAGCAAATGTGGACAATTTTGTTTAATTAGTCATGTTAAAATGAAGCCTACTTTGGTGTGTGTTTGCCTGTGCTTTCTGGGGATGGTCATTTGTTTCCCTGAGAATGAACTAGTCAATTTAATATTCTTTTTTTAATCCCCCGCCCATCTATTCATTCATTAATTCATTTATTCATTCATTTCTTCAATCATTACTCACCAAGGTTTGGGGAGAAGGAATCTGCCCACTCCCCATTCAAGTATATACAGACAAAACACTCACAACAATAATTGATCAGCCATTTCTCTGACATTGGGTCTCCACGGCCAAGACGTGCTACTTCGTTTGACTCAAATGAGCTTAATCTTTTTTTTTTTTAAATATGCTTTCATCAAGGGCTCTTAGACTTCACCTCCTATCTTTAAGATATAGCTTATAGAGCTTCTACTGTATATCACAATAGGGGACAGTGATGACTAGGGGAGTTCTTGCGGTCAAGCAATCCAGTGAGTGTGTTTATAGAAGCAGCAAATTGTCCTGGCCCCAGAACTGCCCACTGGGCTATACCATCCGTGTGCCCTGCCCCACCTCCCAGCTGATGTGAAACCCTAGAATGTTTAGTGCAACGTTCCGAGTGAGCCTCCTGTTTCAGTAGAACTATGGAGAGGTCCATCATTGTTTAACGTTATTAAAGCAAAAATACTTGATTCACATACACTCTGCACCCAGAAACCTACTGTATAAAACAGACTAGAACAGGGCTGATATGGATATCATGGTGTCTTTGAAAAAGTGATAGTCGCTCAGTTGTATCTGACTCTTGGCAACCCCATGGACTGTAGCCCACCAAGCTCCTCTGTCCATAGGATTCTCCAGGCAAGAGTACTGGCGTGGGCAGCCATTCCCTTCTCCAGGGGATCTCCCCGGCCCAGAGATCAAACCAAGCCTCCTGCGATGCAGGCAGATTCATCACCATCTCAGTCACCAGGGAAGCCCTTACCTACCTCCAAGCTGATGGTCCCTGAGGCCCTTCCGCTGAGCGCTAGTGCTCCCCATGTCGCTGGGCTGAAAAGATGTGATAGATTTTCTTTGTCACTAAAGAAAAAAAGGATTTGACGGTGACTTTGTCCCTCCATGTAAAATGTAATGATTGACTGATTTCTATGGTCATTTCCAGCCTTGCCTTTGGGGTTTTTATGATTCTGTGTCTTACTGAACAGTCCATGTGAAAAGGAGACGTGATTCCAGTCTATCCATGGTGCAGTGCTTAAGGGCATAAGCTGAAAGCAGCTGCCGGGACTTGGTTCCTGGGACACTGCTTAACTTGCCGTGTGGCCTTAGGCAAGTGTCTTCATTGATCTGTTCAACTCTAAGTTACTTCTCTGTACTTCAGCTCCTCCAGGTGCAAAATAAGGGAAAGGATATTGACGAGCTAAGGTTTTTGTGAGAATTAGGTAAAATAAGACATATAAAATATTTCATTATGACTGAAACAATTCTATCCATAGTAAGCATTATATAATTGCTTGCTAGATTATTTGGTATCATTCCTGAAGTGTTCAAGAAGTATTTGCACCATCTCAGGGATGCCGTAGGAAGGATTCTTAGGATGGAAGTGAAGTAAGACTAGATTTCCTTCAAGGTCCTGGTTAGTCAGGCTAAGCTAAATTATGCCAGTGTAACAAATAAGCCTGGAAAATCACAGTGACTTAACCGAACCAAGGTTTATCTCTTGCTCATAGATCTAATATCAGATCTAACCCAAATTGGACAACTCCCTGTCCACGTCCCCTCATGGGAAGTGACTCAGGCTGCTGCTGGCTTGAGGCTTGGCTGTCTCAACACATGGCCTCCACAGTCACCATGGTAGCGAGAAAGAGCATCAGCCTGGCAGTAATGCTTATCATCTTGCTCACCATCCACTGGCCAAAACTAGTCACACAACCCAGCTGAATTTGGGGAGGTGGCAGTAGTAAATTAATGGGTATGAATATGGACATGAATAAGCATTTATCATTCAATCTTTTAGAACTGAAGCTCAAAATAGACCTGTCTCCATTCCCATATGAGCTACCAGGTTATGTGAAAAAATTGGTCTGGAACCACTGGCCTCTTGCAAAGTCATCTTAGTGATATTCTTGACTGCATGGATTTCTTAATGAAAAAAAGTTATTTGAGACTTAAGTTAAAGTGCAAGTTAAATGAATTGTACTATGATGACCAGAATTATCCATTGATCTTATTTTAAAGACAAATAACTAGAAAAAAGTTTGCTCTGAAAATTGGCCTATGATTTCATAAAGATCACTGACTTTTTAAGCCCTGTAGGTTATATGTTTTTGTTTGTTTTCTTTTTTTAATTAATTTATTTTATTTGGAGGCTAATTACTTTACAATAGTGTGATGCTTGTAGGGTATATGTTATCATCATCCATTGTGATTCACACATACCCAACTTGACAATCTTTTCCTTTCTGCTTCTGAACAGCCTTGCCACTTCATCACAAACAGAACTCACTCTGTTTGATCAAAAAGATCTGCAGAAAAGTTACATTCAAAGATATGATCGTAAGCCCTTTGATAGCCATCTGTCATCAGTTTTTCTCTCTCCAAGGAGGGAGATATTTCCTTTCATTTTCTCTCTCAGCCTCATAATTAAAGAATCGCTTGGTCATTATTTTTAACCTCCCAGTTAAAGTGTCTCTCTTCAGTCTTATTGCCGTTTTAAGAGAGAACAGAAAGAAAAAATAAGAGAAAAAGCTATGTACAGTCGGTGTCCTCAGAATCTAGATAGGGGAAGCAGGGAGAAAGATTGAACAGTTTCTTTTCAAAGAAATGAACAAAAGAAAATGATAGAGAAGAAAATTGATAGAATCATCAGCCAAGTTGCAGATGGTTCAGCCTGACATGGCTTTTGAAGAATTCAAAGGCACCCAGTGAATGATCACCCTGGCCTCATTGACAACAGTGCCTGCTTTAAATAAGGTAAACAAGACTGGTTGGGAACATTGCATTAACTCACCCCTTTCTGCAGAGGTAGACCAACTCCCAGGGTAAAGCTGACCAAAGCTCAAAGGGCTGCACTACATCAACCCCAAACTGCCTTACAGGATCTGCGAAAGTGCCCTGCTCTGAGCCTTCATCTTTAGCCTTCTCCCCTCCGGGCTCTGATAGGAGCCTTTCAAGGCTTTGTTTTCAGGTTGAGTTTGGGGAGCGGTTGGCCAGATCTGTTCCTTGATGAATGTCTTCACTTTAATCTGCAAGGCAAAGCCATACGCTTCAAAGAAAGGCAGGCTGCAGGAATAAGGTCAGTGTTCCTTTGAAGCCAAGGTTCAAAGATGAAATAGCGGTCCCGGTGAAATGACAATGTTTATGCACAAACAGCCACCTTGACTGCAGCCAGGCTCCTTGCGGAGCGAATACACACAAGCTGAGGGGCTGCAAGCCGCCCGATCCTTCCCCGAGCACCTTTTCATCCCCTGGCCTGTCACCCGCTGCAGCACAACGAGCCCAAAGTGGAGATTTGGTTTCTCCACCCTGCCGGACGTTGAGTGGTCCACCAGTCAAACACCAACGCTGGGAGCCCCTCAAGAGCAAGAGCTCCGTCTTACAGTAATCTGATGTTCCTCTGAGTATCCAGCCCCCTGCTTGGCTTAATAAATATTCCATGATTCAACTTTTACCTTGCAGGCCCACTCAGTTTCAGGTCAGTGTTTATGCTGAGCGAGATGGAGGGAATGTTAGTCTCACAGGACTGGGAGCTGGGGGGCAGTCCCACGCCAGTTCTGGCAACTGCAGAAGGGCTCACTCAGCCATGGGGACTGCTCAGAGATGGACACCACTTTTGAAGAGGTCCAGAAAGATGGCAGCTCTGCCGTTTTCTTTATGACCCAGACAGCCGCAGGAGCGTGAGCCCCAAGCCCCACCACCCAGTCCCCTAAGGAAGCATTGTCTACAGTTGTCATCTTCTTATTTATTTAAATCTTTGCTGCATATTTTTCAATTAATCAGTCAACATTCTTTTTGAACTGCTGATTGGGGTTCTCTGTCCCCCCAGCTCTGGGTAACCTTTCACTTCTCGGGGAAAACAGAAGTTTGTGTCACGTGGAGGGTTCAGGATGCGTGCTTTGCAGCCAAACTGTGTGGGGTCCGGTCCCCGACCCACCACGGCTCCATGCATGGCCAGTTGCCTGCCCTCTCTTAGCCTCAGTTCATTCATTATAAACTGAGGCTGTAGAAGGATTAAGTGATGTAGTACAGGATAGTGAACCCGGCATGATGCCTGACACGTAGTAAGCACCCGATAAAGGCAAACGATTCCTTTCTCCTCTTCCTTCTCTGGTATTTCCAACAGTGTTTATGCACCTGGAATCTCCCCATCTCTCAGGGGAGATGATCTACTCGAACAGCGAATCCAGCAGCACTTCCTTTGACGTAAACCCAGATGCAGGTCCCTTCTTTCGCTCTCCACCACCCCCTCCATCAGCTCTCACCCGGATCACTGGAGCAGTTTTCTTTATGACCCAGACAGCCGCAGGAGCGTGAGCCCCAAGCCCCACCACCCAGTCCCCTAAGGAAGCATTGTCTACAGTTGTCATCTTCTTATTTATTTAAATCTTTGCTGCAAATTTTTCAATTAATCAGTCAACATTCTTTTTGAACTGCTGATTGGGGTTCTCTGTCCCCCCAGCTCTGGGTAACCTTTCACTTCTCAGGGAAAACAGAAGTTTGTGTCACGTGGA